ACGAACAAATAATACGTTGTAAATCAACCACCCTCAGATGTTTAGTTTTTGTAATATTTTATTTTTAACCAATATTTTAATACTTCGTAATATTTTATGCTATTCGTCATATTGAGTTGTACAGCCTGATGGCTGAGATGTTTTACATAATAAACCAGTTATTCATTCATTCATTCATTCCATTATGCCTTCTCAACATATCGTGTTTACATAAACACACACACACACACATACACAAGCACAGACACACACACAGAAACACACACAGAAACTCATGCACGAATGCCTCTAAAAACATAAGATTCTTGGCGAAGGTAATGAAAAATAAATGCTTGAAAATCATTTTTGTCACTCACTCGGAATCCTTGTTGTGGAACTCGCATATGAAGGGTAGCTTGCGGTAGCATGGGGTGTCGTTCCAGCGGTTAGGTTGTCCCCCGGTCATCCAATAAACAGCACAATCTTCACCACCTTCAAAATCATCTGGCTGTTTTCTGCCCCATCTCTTGGAGTTACCAAGCGGAGTGCCGTCCACCCAGACGAATTGCCCTTCTTTTTGTTGATCGTGGAGACCAAACCAGACGTCGAAGTTGCCAAACCTCGCGATCTTGACGGCTACACGTGCCCTGGAATATCGATCACGGGGCATGGCGAGGGTACCGCCTTCACGGCAACAGATCTCGGCTGCTGTGTTGAAGTCTTCGCGGGCATCGAATGCTTTGTAGCAGGTTGTAGAAAACACAGAATTGCATGGTGGAACTGGAAACGTAAATAGAAGCGATATTGAAACGACAACGTCACCAAAAAGTCTTCACAAAATCATATGTTTTTTTTTTGTATTTTTAAGTATTTGACTACAATGCTTTTCAGTGGCCCATAAGAATGCCATTAAAGAAAAAGAACAGTATTGGGATTTTCGAAAAGCCAATTTCGTAGTAATTTACATTTCATTGCTCATCAATTTATGATTATTGATAATACCGACCTTTCTTTGATGGCTGACATCCAATCCCCTTGGGCACATTTTGTCCAGTTATGCCAGTCGTACCGGCAGACACAGGGCCGGCCGGCTCCGTGGTTTTCTTCTCTCCCGGAGGCCCAGGTGGCCCAGGACGCCCGATAGAGTCAGGCTTACCGGCCTGTCCCACAGGCCCAGGCAGCCCAAATTGCGCCCATCCGATTGGACGCCCAGACGGCCCTGGACGCCAGGCAGAACCACCCTTCCCCTCAAGACCAGGTGGCCCCATTGGTCCCTTCTCTCCAGGAGGCCCTGGCGGCCCGGGTGGCCCAGGAGGCCCGGTAGAGCCAGCCTTTCTCTCAGGGCCAGCCGGCCCCATGGGCCCCTTCTCTCCTTGGGGTCCGGGCAGCCTAGGAGGGCCAGCAGCTCCGGCGACTCCTGTGATCACCTTTCCAGATACCCTAGGCGTCATTGGTGGAGTCGGTGACTTCAAACGGCCATTTTCTCCCAAAGAGTCGTTTGGCCCAGAGAACCCACACATATCTACAATATAGATTTAGTGCTTTCATTAGCATTGAAAATAATAATACTGGAAAAATAATGTCAAACATTCATTATTACCAGATTACCAGTACACCAAAGTCAGCAATGTACATTTGATATTCTAGCACTAAAAGAAATCCAATTTTTTCAACACAGTTAAAAGCATGGGTAAATGTTTTCTGGTGTAAAGAAATAGATTATTATACATGCTTTAAGGTATCCTGAAAGATAAAATTAAGTACAATTTTTATGAATCTAATACACAGACCGTGTACAGTTTAATTGTTACCACTGTTATTAACTAACTACTAAGCTAGAAGGTCATTTCTACCTAGAAGGTCGACTGTTATTATAAACTTAGTTCCTCACTAAGGATTTTACGGTGGGGTAGTGCTATACTGTGGCGCCATTAGAATCCTTATTAAGGAATTAAGTTATTGATAACGGTCACCACCTAGGAGGCTGAGATGACTTCCTAGCTTCGTATTTATTAAAAAATGGTGGTCACCGTTAGTCAATAGTTACTGTAAACGGTATATGTAACGGCTGTTGCATGGAATTATTTCATCAGACTTACATGTACGTTCCAGCTCGATTATTCGCAGCTCAGTCATCCTGTTCCGTGCAGCAAGCTTGCCCAAGTCCCCAGAAAAACTGTTTACTTTAACTGCATCAAGAAAGAAAAAGACAAAGATTGTTGACGTCAAATGTAGGCCTCGTGTTCATAGGGACTGGTCATTTGAATCTGATGATAGCTGAAGCATTTACTTTTTGAGAACATTTTTCAGTTTACAAAATTGAATAACATTGTTCAATCTCAATATTAGTAGGAATGAATGAATAAAAGACAGAGAGAAGGAAGAACATGAAGAAAAAATGATAAGTTGATAAATAGACGTCTATTGTCAGTCGAATCCTTATGGGGAAAATCTGTTTCAGAATATTGAGTAGCAATGTCAAAACAAAATTTGAAAAGAAGTGAATCAGGCGTATATAAAATGGAGCAATTATGACCAGATATCTAGATAATTATAACGTAAGGATTTCCGTCAAACGATATAAACTTGATATCCTAGAAATTCTCTTTTCCACGACAATGATAATTTCATGCTTTCAGAATATACTATGAAATAAATACCATTTCCAATGAAAGTAAGGAAAATCTGAGATTTTATACCTTTGAGTTGTTAAATTGTATTTTTTATAAGTTATTTGATGATGTTAAATTTGATGTGTTGGATTTAGCGTTCTAGGTTGTGTTAGGTTAGAAATTTTGGCACATATTCTGTGTCCAGATATACTGCCCTGTAACTTTTTTACGAATAACGTATTTACCAGTATCAATCATATCAAACCCCGTATAACACTGGTAACACCGACATCTACACAAAATGTACACAACCCGGTGGGCAAGATATGTAGGATGAATGGCTGATGATATATAGGGAATACAATGGTTTACAAGTTGTGTGGGTTTAATGTAAGTATGCAGTTTTTTTTTCGTATATGTATAAATCTTGCATATATTTATGAACAATATTTGCATATATGGAAAGATACCGTGCTCCCGTAACCACGCGCACGGAAACAAATTTCCTTTCTTTTTTAAAAATACGCACTAAAACGCTGTTTCCACGACTGCATAGCCACATTTAGTGAAAATATGCGAATTTCAAAGAGCCTTTTAGGAAAATATAATCTCTTTGCGGATATATAGTGTCTTTCCACATAATTTTACGTTCGTTCAACCAGGGAGTGTGTACACCCCTCTGTCAGACGGCTAGAAAAAATGGAATAACCAAAAAATACCTAAACAATAGCCAAGGCAAGCCTGCAAAACCATTTTCACGCTGAAAGGGGTGTCCGGGGGCCGCCAAAAGGTTTCATTTTCACGCACGAAATCACATATACAATACAAAATAAAGAACGTGCATCATGTGCAGCCTAGTAGCAAGACGTATACCGAGTCCCAAAAAATCCGTCAACCCAACCGCGAGAAACAGCTGCGAACATGAACACTGTAAACTCTTACAATACCCTTCCGCGGAATGATATCTCCTTCCTCGGGTGTAACAATCACAGAAAAGACCAACCTGCAAATAATGGAAACAGCAGGGCCATGACCACAGCAAAGAAGAAACCCGTGGCTTTCAGGAACTTCTTACACAGGTGGATGTACTTCTTCATCTTGGTGTGTGCTCCTTTCATGTAGTCTAATTGTGGAGGAAAAAAATACATCTTCTATGATCTATGAAAAACCTTTTCAAAGGCATCTAGTATAATTCAAGGGTGGCAAAATTGGATTGTTCAAATTCAATATTCTGCTCATTTCTTTATAATATATAATGCAATACATGTAAGATGAATCAATCCTATCGCATACTATATACTGACATCTATGATGTCACCGACGGAAAATTGCTTGTTTTGTATCGTAACCTGGGTCTAGCTTTCTATGGGTGATTCCCAAAAAATAAAGGAACTCCTCACTTATTTTTGGTCTTAAGCTTTTTCAAGCGCTTCACGTTTGTTTTACCTCCCTGAAACCGCATTAAATCGTTCACAACGAAAACAACCTCACAGGAGTAAAAACTGCTTATCATGACCCCTGTTGTGTCCCAAACCGTGCCCGTCCCGTTCTGTGCCTGAGCGGGACACTCAGGCACAGTGCCCGTCCCGTTCCCAGAACGGGACACGGCCAGAACAGTGTCCGAAAGTGTTGTCAATCATAGTGATTGGCGGGAACGTAGCAATTATTCACGCCAACGATTCCATATATGGTTACATTGCCTGAGACGTTGTGAGTCTGTGTACTGTGTAAAGCAGGAATTACACCGATTCTTTCTTATTCTTTTCCCGACAAAGACAACAATGGCGGCCTAAAACAGATAAGCAAAACCAAGAGAAGTCTCTCCCCTCAAAACGCTAAGCTCCGCCCCAAAAGCACGAAATGGGACAAGGCCCTTATGCGTCCAGAACTGTGCCCGGTCAAGTACGGTTCAGGACAGCCCCCTCGTTTCCGAGAATGTAGATTTGCCCCATGGTCGGGCATGGTTTGGGACACAACAACTCCCCTCTCACCAACACCCCTCCCCAAAAAAAGACCAAAATTAACAAGACTGGCAATGAAAACATACATTGCCATGGCGACGGTGGTTGCTGTTAGGGTTATTGTTTGCATGGCACTGCCATGATTTCATGATTTTGAGGAAGACTTGGTACCTGTTAAGTCTAGACAGATACAGTACATTCCTCCCCTGAGTGCATAATGAACGAGCCCCGGGGTCACAGAAAGTAGGGCCATCTGGGGCAGACAGGTCTACAGGGTTCCAGGAATGTGGGCATGGATGTGGGTCAGAAAAATGCCTGTGGACAAAATGCCTGTACAATTCCTAGAATTCTTGCGAATTGCCCACGATACTGTTCCATTAGGCTCCTCCCTGAGACGTCGCCAAAAAAACGCAAATAACGCAGGAATAGTTTTAAGAAATTACCTTACCTGCTCTAGAGACGTACATCGGGTTTGGTATGTTCGCGGTGGCGTCCGCAAGTGACCTCCAATCAGTCTGGTCTTGCCTCTTGGGTGTGGCGCCTGGATGAAAGAAAATTACAAATGAGCAGTACTATACAGTGTTTCCCACACAAATACAACAATGTGTTTTCCATATCGCCAAATCCACCAGCCATTCTTTCCATTGTCACACATTGAACCAACAAAAATTGTCATAGCCAAAGTCATAGTCGATTAAAGCTGTCTTTTATGACTTGCTACACTGCACCTTTCATTTTGATAAAATATAGGCTTACAAAACAAGCGTAATGAAATAAACAGCATTTGCATCATTATGATATACGAATGATAATTCACGCATTACATGAAGTATGAAAACCTTTAAATATGCCATCAGAGTAAAGACGACAAATATAAAAAGCAGATCTGGAATTCATATTATTGCAACTTTGACTTATTTCAGGATAACGAATGCTTATCTGCATTGTTTTCTTAGCCGTAGTCAAATTTAACCGTGTTTGTCAAATAAACCAGTCATTTTGTACTTTGCCAGTACTTTGCCACAAAGCAAACCAAAATAGCTGAAGTCGACTCGAAACTGGCTTTTGTCATCTGCTATTAAGAATCAATACCAATACTGCACCATTTTATTTCAAAAGAAATACTGGCTTTAGATGCAAGCAAATTGAGCATGTTATATATGCCCCCCCCCCACCTAAAATGGCATACACTCGCGACTACTATAGAAAAAATTGCCCAACAGAAAAGGATAGAAAATGAAGACTTTGACAGAGTAAAAAACTGTTACCTCTGGTGTCACCGGCCTGGGACTGCTGCTGCCCTCCTGACATGACGAAACTTGAATGTCTGGTTTCTGTACAGCAAAAACACGACCTACACTAGGCACGGGGTTTGTCGACTGACGCGAAGCCTGACTGACACCCACACAGTAATTACGAACAGCTTTTCGTGATGAAATTAAGAAAAAAGGATAAAAGCATAACATATTGGATAAACAACCGTAGATACGCATTCAAGTAATACATGTTCATATCTTCACTAACTAGTTTATGAAACTGAGAATCAAACGAATAAAAGAAAGTCATACTGTGTAAACAACAATCACTGTACTTTTAAATACAAACACGACATACGTAATTTGAACACGTCATCATTTAAGTCTCCAGCGCTACATATTGAAGTTATTCATAGTAGTCTACAATTGCAATCATCTTTTTTTCTTGAAAGTAAAAACATATGCCCACCACCTACGCGTAACGTAAATCAACATCATCATCATCTTTCATCCTCCATAATAGAGGTGGAGCATACGAAGTTAGCTCGCCAAAACTGTTTGTCATACACCATAGAGATCAACAAAATATGTCATTCATCACAGAGATCAACAAAATTAAAAAAAAAAGATGAAAGAAGCCAATACATGATAAACAACAGAGGTATCCTTTGATAATAAGATGAGAAACGTTTGCTAAAACGCATAATCGTCTTGAAAGCTTAATGTTGAAAGCACCATAGCGAAAACTGTACACAAATTACAAACGTTTTGCATACTTTTGATATCTACAGCTGTAGTGAAATTCGGTTTAAGGAGAGCTTAAAACCTTTTAAACCTTAAGCCATTGTCAACAAGAAAACATCGATAATTTTTCCGGTCACCTTTGAGCATTAAAGTCAGTTGCATTAATTAAAAACGCATTTTTCTTTAAATCTCTTCATGACCGTATACACATAGCCCTGAGAGCAGATGGCTGTAAAAACCAAGCAAATCAGAACAAGGCTGAGGCAATAAAAATCATTGACAAGGCGACGACTGAATGATATATATATTATTTCATGTGGTGGAGCTAGCAATCTACATTACAATTATCAGAAAAATATATTTCCCTATGTTATAAAGACATGCACGTAGTGAAATTTACAGGCTGGGTGGAGGTGGTGTGGGGCAATATACCAAATACACGTATAGAAGGAATCAGCCGTTATTCCCCAGCAATATAGATTTTATGATGACATACTTACTTACTTTACTTCGGTCGAGTTCCCGCCAGAACCAAACTGAAAACCATCCTCCACTTCACTCTATCCTCCACCAGAGACTGGATTTTATGTCTGGTCTGAAGTTGTTACTCCTTTGACTTTTTTTTTACCTTTTGTGGGTTCCAAAAGGACGGATAATTTCTTTTCTCTCTGTGACCTGTTTGAATATGGTCTTTGGCCGAAGACATCTGTGCTCTCTGTCCATGGTGTGGGGAGAAGACTGATGACCAGTAATAAATCATGCCAGGCATCTGGATGGGTGGCACGTGGGCACCCCGTGTAAGTTACCTGCTTGATCCAAAAACCACATGGCCGAAGGTTTCCTCCAAACCAATTCCCCGGGGAACGCATTCGTGCAATTTTTGAAATTATTTCAAAGCGAACGTAGTACTTACACAAATGCCTCCGCCCCAAAGGCGTCGCCAAATAAGTGGCCAAACTAAAAAAAAAAAAGAATCGTATCTCCTCAAACTTTGTGTCGTGGTAGAACCTTGGCCCAAACCTACGAAAATGGGTGTTTCGGACCCCTGGTTACTTGTTGCCATGGCAACGGCCATTTTTCAAAATGGCAGATTTTCATCTTGTGAAGGCATTAGTCTCGCCCAAAATAGATTATCTATGACCTTCTGTATCTCACAGTATCGAATAGATATTTTTTTGCCTCTAACATATTTTTATCCATGTTTCAACGAAGAAATTGATAATAAAGTTTTACTCAAAATGTTTTTGCAGTGAGCTGTAGCAGACGTTTAAAGATTACCTATTTTTTGTAAAATTTCAAATTTGAGAAAGGCCATTTTTTGTACGTTTTTGACGTTCAATGGCCGCTAAAAAAGGCAGATAGAATTAGCTATTTGGGGCTCAGTTATGGCTCAGACCTTTGTTTACATCATATTAGAAAAAAAGTTTGGGCTTTTTATCATAGGGAGGACCACGGTGACTTCAAGGCTAAACCATTAAGTCTATTGTGAAAGAATTGCAACCACTTCATTGTAGGTGAAAAAAAAAAAATACATTACTTGGCTATAGTGGGAAGTAAACAAAATCAAAAGCTTTTTTCATGTGACAAGGAATCCTAGCCTGAAAGCGTAATTCGCGTTTTAATTTTACATAATGCGTTGTAGCTATTTCAAATTTATCGTTAAGCGTAATCGCGCTACTGTACCGTAATACATAGCCGGTTCTGAAAATCTAGCGTAGAGCGTTGTCGGGACTCCCCCTCGCCATGCAGGCCCCCTTTAAACAGTGCTTCATGTCGCGCCTTTCTGGGCAGATTTCATGTTCTGGCCAATGGAGACCATGATAACAGGATACATTTTAAAAAAATCACAACGGTTTAGTTAATTACGATGCAAAGACTTTAGGCAACAAGATTGTTGTCAAGTCAGGGCCAGACAAATTCATACTGCCGTGGAACTCATCACTTAAAGTCTGACAACTGAACTACCGAGCAATGTGTACCCTAATCCCGACTGGCACAGAAAAACCTGTAGCTGACAGAACAATTCTATAAGAACCTTAATTCTATGAGTCTTTGACTGCAGTCTCTGCAATATCCATCCGCGCTTTGAGTTAGCAAACAAGTCAGATCTGTCCGTAAGCCAAATCTAACCGGTGAACGTAACACATTTTGGCCCAACTGAGAGAGCTCGGACCCTACCTGTTCCTTCTCACTCAAAAGGTTCCGAAGGTTTTATAAGTAGGCACTTTAATGCTACTCCCATTTTGGGCCCTGTATGTACTACGAAACTCAACAGCTCAACTTCTCTGCTTATTAGTCTACAACGGTCTGAGAGAAACAGGATTGCGAGTAGTAAAATGACGGCCGGGGGTACCTCAAAATCCGGGTTGTGGGGGTGGTGCTATATTGATATACAAATGAACCACCACCTGTAATGAATAAGTCGAATAATTATACAATAAATGAAATATGAATGAATATAAGGTATATATTTATGATGTATATCTGTCTATAAATATCAATATGATATGTTTCTATATACAATGCAGCTGTAGAAGTATTTAAGTAAAGAGACTCTTTTTACACAACCAAGTCTTTTATTCAGCCGACGTTTCGGTGACCGTCTGTCACGTCTGTTCACATTGCACTGCAGCACAGGTGTAGATAGATTATGTAAATATTGTACATTTGGGAATTCATCTATAGCAGCGACACCTGTGTGCAGTGCAATATGAGCCAGTCAGAATTGCCCTGAGGAAGGTGACAGACGGTCACCGAAACGTCGGCTGAATAAAAGACTTGGTTGAGTAAAAAGAGTCTCTTTACTCAGTGTCTTACCAACCTGCTGAAACTATTTACGTATGTCTGATGTATTTGTTTGATGTACATGTCCCAAGTAAAAACAATAGACTTGGTGTGTTGAGAAACATTTGATTTTATAGCTTCACAGAGTGTAACAACAACACTCGATGCATATCTTTAACAGCTCACTAAAGTCTACTCATTCGTCTGCTCAAACACAAGCTCTTTGCGGCTTTTTCGTCGTGAAATCTGGGTCATCGGAGGTCAACATCCTGTCGGATGTCTAGCACCGCTTTTCCGTTGCCCAGCCCTCCAGGTCACCGACTTTGAAAGTCTGCAATTATCGAAGAAATATAAACCGTGTTAATAATGCCATGTTTTAGCATCTCATATGTGTGTAATAGACTATGGGCTATACCAAAGACTTAAGAGCAAATGTCTGTAATGATCAAACAATGGTGGCAGGGGTCAAAAAATCGATTTGGCTCAAATTTTGCACAGTGATAGTACTTGGCCCACAACCCCTCAAAATAGCTTTCTTTCTGCTCCACATCGACCGTTGCCATGGTAACAGCCCAAACATGTTTTAGGGCCATTTTCCATGATTTACGCATGCCAGAAACATGAAAATTGCCAACGTTTAGGACGCGATTACAAACAAATGCTTGAATATATCGGAAAGACAAAAACTGTGCTGAAATGTCCAACTTATCTGCTTTCCTAAGATAGCTTTAAAATTTTCAAAAGGTCAGTTTAAAGGGTCTGGGCATCACTAAGACAATACAGTGTTTTGGGCTTTTGAAATATCCCTATTTCTGCCCATTTTTGAAGCGCTGTAACTCCAAAGATGGTGATTTTTTTTCGTTCAAAATGTAATAACAGATACATAATTATATGAGCTATAAAATGCATGTTTGTAAAGTTTGGCCAATTGTTTGGTTCTCACGTGGTTGTCCTCGGAAGTAGGTCATATTTTACATTTCAAGAAAAATACAAATTTTTGTCATCTTTAAGATATAATAAATACAATACGAAAACAGCAATCTAATACTACTTTAGATAATAAGTAATCCTAATAATTGTCTATCAAACGAATACTTGTGAAGGTTGGAGTCTTGTTTCGTTGCTGTGTAATTGTCCCAGAAAGTAGGCCGTATTTTGGACTTGTGTTAAAATTATCATTTGGGGCTATCTTTGGAGCTTTACAACTGACAAAGTAGGATGTTATTTGAATCCAATCTTTGTAGGGTAGTACATATATGTATTGTGTATCAAATGATATCTTGTTGAGGTTGTAGTCTTGTCTCGTTGTTGTGTACTTGTCCCTGAAAGTAGGCCATATATTGGACATGTGCGGAATATTATCATGTTTGGCTAGCTTTGGAGCTTTATAAGTGACAAAGTGGGATGTTATTTGAATTCAATCTTTGTAGAGTAGTAAATACGTCTATTGTGTATCGAATGAATTCTTGTTGAGGTTAGAGTCTTGTTTCGTTGCTGTGTAATTGTCCCAGAAAGTAGGCCATATTTTGGACTTGTGCTAAAATTAACATTTCGGTCTATCTTTGAAGCTCTATAACTGACAAAGTAGGATGTTATTTGGATCCAATCTTTGTAGGGTAGTACATACATGTATTGTGTATCAAATGAATTCTCGTTGAGGTTGGAGTCTTGTTTCGTGTCTGTGTAATTGTCCCTGAAAGTAGGCCATATATTGGACATTACAGAAATTGCAAAATATACGGCTGTTTTTGAAGCAGTAAATATGACAAAGTAGTATTTTATTTGAATTCAATCTTTTAAGGCAAGCACATAATTATATGCATTTTGTATCAAATGAATACTTCTGGAGGTTCGGGTCTTTTGCCGTTATTGTGCACTTGTCCCCATATTGTCCCCATATTTAAACATATACTGAAGACATTAGCACACATGTACTTGAAGCACTATAAACGCCAAGGTAGGACGTTATTCAAATTCAATTCTCTAGCAGAAGTAACTTTATCTATTGTCTATGAAATAAATATATCGAAACGTGAGCAATATCTCCTACTTTCGGGGACAGTTACAAGAAAACAATAGAATATGTCCTAATTATGACTTACTTTTGGGGACAAGTACAGAGCAACTAAGCAAGAACCCACCTTCTATAGGCCTTCATTTCATAGACAATAG